TGAGATTTCTAAAGATAGCTACAGCACTCGACCCAAAGTTTAAGAATGTGAAGCCTCTTCCAAAATCTGAGAGGGATGAAGTGTGGAGCATGCTTTCGGAAGTCTTAAAAGAGCAACGCTCCAATGCAGAACTACAGAACCCGAACCACCAAAAAAGAAAATCAACCTTCTGCTGGTGGCATCTGACTCAGATGATGAAAATGAACATGCGTCGCTCCACATTGCTTAGATTGTTATCGAGCAGAACCAGTCATCAGCATGGACGCATGTCCTCTGGGATGGTGGTTGAAGCATGAAGGGACATATGAATCCTTAGCACATTTGGCATGTAAATATCTTGCGAGGCTGGCTACAAAGTGCCATGCGAACATCTGTTCTCACTTTCAGGTGACATTGTGAACAAGAAGCAGGCAGCATTATCTCTTCCAAATGTAAACAAATTTGTTTGAGCGTTTGGCTGAACAAGAAATAGGACTGAGTGGACTTGTAGGCTCTAAAGTTTTACATTTTATTTTTCAGTGCAGTTATTTTTGTACATAATTCTACATTTGTAAATTTAACTTTCATGATAAAGAGATTGTACTACAGTACTTGTATGAGGTGAATTGAAACATACTATTTTTTGTTTTTTATAGTGCAAATATTTGTAAAAAAAAAATAAAGTGAGCACTGTACACTTTGTATTCTGTTATAATTCAAATCAAGATATTTGAAAATGTAGAAAACATCCAAAATATTTAAATAAATGGTATTCTATTATTGTTTAACAGTGATTAATCGTGCGATTAATTTTTTTAATCACTTGACAGCCCTAGTAAGTGTTCTTGTAAAGTTGTAAAGTCAGAGTCAATAAACGTGCATTTTTTAGCTCTACATGTGGCCCAATCTATACTGGTCATTGAATTTAACCTGGGGAGGAACACCATTCATCCAGTTTCTGCGTTTCCCCTAGTTTAGCTGAAGTTATCACAGGGTCATAGGTAGTCTGCATTTGAAAACCGATTAGCTTTTGAAGATGCATCACCATGTTGGATGTACAGCGGAGATTTTACATCTATTGGTCTTTGACAAAAAAATAATGAAGGCTTTAAAGAAAAGGGAATAAGAGCCAGTAAAAGACTGGGGAAAGACTTTGTGGGAAAAGACTGCAGCAGAGCAACCACGTGGAATGTTACAATTTTGGATTGGGAACCTCTTACGAATGATGACAGTTAAGAACTTTGGACTCAAATATTCTTGTCTTCAGGATGATAGTGAATTGGGATTCAGTCAGAGAAATTTTGACATTGAATTCCTCAGATCATATGATGAAACATACCATGCTGGTTCATGATCATCTTTTTCTGGATTAGCAACAGCTGCAGCCACTGATTTCTCTAGAAAATATCTGATTTGTGCAACAGTAGTAAGCATATGAATGCATACCAAGTTCATATTTATCAGAAATTTAAATCTTGGAATTTGAAGAGACGCTTTTAAGGAAAAGAAACCTCCAATCCTGTGCAGTTTAATCATTGTCAGGGCAGGTTTTATTAGTTAAAATGACTTAATTAGTTGTCGTTTAAAAGAACCAGTTAGTATAGTAAGTAATCAAGGATTCACATGTATTGATTACTTCTTGATAGAAGAGTGCCAGTCAATGATTCACTGTTTTGACACCTTGTAATAGGGGGAACTAATATAATTTTCCCCTTAACTAATACTCTTAATGCCACTACATAAAGATCATAGTTTAGATTTTCTTGATTCAAACTGCTAATATTATTTAACCAGTAGCTGTTTTATTGGTCTCCTGTTTTTGACAGGACTAGATGACCTCCTGAGGTCTCTTCCAACCCTAATTGTCTATGATTCTATGAATAGTGCACCTCTGATCTCTAGTTTTGTTGCATTGATTGGCGGGGAAGTATGTTACAAATTAGTTAAAAACTTTAAAAAAATCAGTTTGACACACATATTAAATTGAGAGATAGACAGTCTTTCAAAATTGCAGTAACCTTCCTGACTCTCAGTGTTTGACATTTCAGAACCACTCATGAGTTCTTGTTTGGTGCCCTTGCTGAGCTTGTAGATAATGCCAGGTATGTATTTGAGATTGTATTTATATTGGGAGTTAATTAAGTTGCTCTGCTTTAACTAGCCCACGTATTTAGGGTAAGCAGCTGAGTGACCTTCACTACCAGTAGATCTTAAGAAGAAAGATGTAATACAGAAGTTTATATTATAGCTGAATGGTGATGGTGCACCTGTATCCTACATAAGATACAGGCCCTGCCCAAGAGGAGGAGGGGCCCCATCTTGAAAAACTGATAGTATAAACAGCTAGAAAACACACTGTGTGTTGGGAGACCAAGGAGGATCAGTTTTATATCCTTTTTTCCCTAGCCTTTTGATGTGGTTTTGCATTGTTGTGCTTTGCAAAAGTGAATTTTATGGCCATTTTGAAGAATAGTTAGGTCATCTGGTGCATTGGGATAGGGAGGGAGGTTCCAGACACAAAGGGGAGCGCAGATTCTGAAGAACTCTTGCTTGAGGAGAAGGTAAGTAATGTAACGGAAGTATCGATGTCTTTCAAAAGCTGAAAGAAGCTTGAAGTTGGAGGCTTATTCCACCGTGATGTACTAAGATATTTTTCCTTCATGTACTCATTTTTCCCTCCTAAAATGAGTGTTTGACGGAATAGGTATTTGCGTTGTAATCAGATTTAATTAGTATGCAGCATCAGTGTCTTGTGGTGGAGTTTGGATCCAAACAAGGGAAGGCCAAAAATGCAATAGTACACAAAAGCCTCTTGGATTTCTTTGAGGGGTGCTGACGCTTAAAGCCTTAGAGAGACATGGTGGGTGAGGTAATACCTTTTATTGGACCAATTTCTGTTGGTGAGAGACAAGCTTTCGAGCTTACACACAGCTCTTGAAGAAAAGTTTTATGTAAGCTCGTCTCTCACCAACAGAAGTTGGTCCAATAAAAGATACTACCTAATTTGCTTTGTCTCTCTAATATCTTGGGACCAACGCGGCTACAACAACACTGCATACTTAGAGACTTAGACAGTTTTTGATTCATAATGATAACTCCTGTTGAAATTCCTACTCATACATGCAAAATCCTCTTGGGCTCCTAGCGTCTTTCGCCTTCATTCACGCTTTGGACGCTGATTGTGTTTTTGTTACTTTGTAGAGATGCTGATGCCACGAGAATAGATATTTACACAGGTAAGTCAGACTTGTCTTTTCCTTCGATGCCAGCAATGTCAGGAGGATTGCAAAATACACCCAGCAAATTACGGATTAGTAATGCCTTCAAATCTATTACATTTCTAACATCAAAAAATCATTCAGAAGGAGAGGTGTAGGAGGGTGGTGAAGGGAGTCTTGCATTGTCTTTAAATGGGTCTTGAATTCATCAACTAGAATCCTTTACCAGACTAAAGGAATCTTATAGCGTTTAAGGCCAGAAGGGACCAATAGATCATCCAGTCTGACCTCGTGTAACACAGGGCACCAACACCACCCAGCACCCGCGCACTAACCCAACAACTGAAATGAGACCAAAGTATTACAACCCACAGGAGACCAGATGTGCTAGTGCCAGAGCCCTCTGCAGTGGCAGGGAAATGATTCCTTGAGATAAACCCAGATAATCCTGGCAAGTGACCCGCACCCACATGCTGCAGAGGAAAGTGAATAACCTCCAAGGTCACTGCTAGTTCTGACATAGGGTAAAATTCCCTCCTGACCCCGCATATGGTGATCAGTTAGACCCTGAGCCAGTCAAGAACCAGCCAGTCAAGCACCTGACAGAGAGAATGCACGGTGTCACCTCTGAGCCCGGGGCCTCCCCCAAGGTCTCATTTCCAGCTGTGACCATCTCTTAATGTTGTTTGCCCCCACCATTTCTGTTTGGAGACTGTTCCAGAACCTTATCCCTCTGATGGTTAGATACCTACTTCTAATTTCTAGCCTGGATTTGTTCATGGCCAGTTTATATCCATTTGTTTTTCTGCCTACATTGTCATTTAGCTTAAGTAACTATTCACCCTTCCTGGTGTTTATCCCCCTAATGTATTAGAGAGCAGAAAACCCCGTGCAGCCTTCTGTTTGCTTTACTAAACAAGCCAAGCTCTGGGCCCTTCATTCCCCTGATCATCCTAGTAGATCTTCTTTGCACCTGTTCCAGTTTCAGTTTATCTTTTTGGAACATAGATGACCACAATTGTACACAGCTTGATTATTTTCTTCTCAGAAATTTAAAACATAAGCTTCCTCTGCTTGCTTTGATTTAGTATGTGAGCTTAGGCTACTTTCCTTTCCCGATGAAAGGTTTTGATATGGTCTCCCACAGTATTCTTGCCAGCAAGTTAAAGAAGTATGGATTGGATGAATGGACTATAAGGTGGATAGAAAGCTGGCTAGGTTGTCGGGCTCAATGGGTAGTGATCAATGGCTCGATGTCTAATTGGCAGCTGATATCAAGCGGAGTGCCCCAGGGGTCAGTCTTAGGGCCGGTTTTGTTCAACATTTTTATTAATGATCTGGATGATGATGGGGTGAATTGCACCCTCAGCGAGTTCGCAGATGACACTAAGCTGGGGGGAGAGGTAGATACGCTCGAGGGTAGGGATAGGGTCCAGAGTGATCTAGACAAATTGGAGGATTGGGCCAAAAGAAATCTGATGAGGTTCAACAAGAAGTGCAGAGTCCTGCACTTAGGAAGGAAGAATCCCATGCACCACTACAGGCTGGGGACCGACTGGCTAAGCAGCAGTTCTGCAGAAAAGGACCTGGGTATTACAGTGGACAAGAAGCTGGATATGAGTCAGCAGTGTGCCCTTGTTGCCAAGAAGGCCAATGGCATATTGGGCTTGATTAGTAGGAGCATTGCTAGCAGATCGAGGGAAGTGATTATTCCTCTCTATTCGGCACTGGTGAGGCCACACCTGGAGTATTGTGTCCAGTTTTGGTCCCCCCACTACAGAAGGGATGTGGACAAATTGGAGAGAGTCCAGTGGAGGGAAACAAAAATTATTAGGGGGCTAGAGCACATGACTTACAAGGAGAGGCTGAGGGAACTGGGGTTATTTAGTCTGCAGAAGAGAAGAGTGGGGGGGATTTGATAGCAGTGTTCAACTACCTGAAGAGGGGGTTCCAAAGAGGATGGAGCTCGGCTGTTCTCAGTGGTGGCAGATGACAGAACAAGGAGCAATGGTCTCAGGTTGCAGTGGGGGAGGTCTAGCGTACAAAGAATGGAAGAGGGGAGGGATCAGCAAGGAAACCTACCTTATTGAGGTCAGAGCATGTAGGGATGCGGTGAGAAAGGCCAAAAGCTGTGTAGAGTTGGACCTCGCGAGGGGAATTAAATCCAATAGTAAGAGGTTTTATAGCCATATAAATAGGAAGAAAACAAAGAAAGAGGAAGTGGGACCGCTGAAGAATGTAGATGGAGTGGAGATTAAGGATAATCTAGGCATGGCACAATATCTAAATGAATATTTTGCATCGGTCTTTAATAAGGCTAATGAAGGGTTTAGGAATAGAGGGAGCAGGACAGAGGGGAATAAAGGAGGGGGGATTGACATTACAGTATCAGAGGTGGAAGCCAAACTTGACCAGCTAAACGGGACTAAATCGGGCGGACCGGATGATCTTCATCCTAGAATTTTGAAGGAACTGGCGCGAGAAATTGCAAGCCCCTTAGCGATAATTTTTAATGAATCTGTAAACTCGGGGGTGGTACCGTTGGACTGGAAAATAGCTAATGTGGTTCCTATTTTCAAGAAGGGGAAAAAAAGTGACCCGGGTAACTACAGGCCTGTTAGTTTAACTTCTGTAGTATGCAAGGTCTTGGAAAAATTTTTGAAGGAGAAAGTAGTTAAGGACCTTGAGGTGAATGGCAGTTGGGACAGATTTCAACATGGGTTTACGAAAGGCAGATCGTGCCAAACCAACCTGATCTCCTTCTTTGAGAAAGTAACAGACCTTCTAGATAAAGGAAATGCAGTGGATCTAATATACCTCGATTTTAGTAAAGCGTTTGATACTGTACCGCATGAGGAATTATTGGTTAAATTGGAAAAGATGGGGATCGATATGAAAATCCAGAGGTGGATAAAGAACTGGTTAAAGGGGAGACTGCAGCGGGTAGTACTGAAAGGTGAACTGTCAGGTTGGAGGGAGGTCACCAGTGGGGTTCCTCAAGGTTCGGTTTTGGGTCCGATTTTATTTAATCTATTCATTACTGACCTCGGAAGCGAATGTAGGAGTGGGCTGATAAAGTTTGCGGATGACATAAAGTTGGGAGGTATTGCCAATTCGGAGAAGGATCGGGATATTCTGCAGGGAGACTTGGATGACCTTGTAAATTGGAGTAATAATAATAGGATGGGTTTCAGAGTAGCAGCCATGTTAGTCTGTATCAGCAAAAAGAACAGGAGTACTTGTGGCACCTTAGAGACTAACAAATTTATTAGAGCATAAGCTTTCGTGGGCTACAACCCACTTCTTCGGATGCATATTGAGTGAAACATATCGAGGAGATATATATACACACATACAGAGAGCATGAACAGGTGGGAGTTGTCTTACCAACTCTGAGAGGCCAATTAAGTAAGAGAAAAAAAACTTTTGAAGTGATAATCAAGGTAGCCAAGTACAGACAGTTTGATAAGAAGCAAGTGTGAGAATACTTACAAGGGGAGATAGATTCAATGTTTGTAATGGCTCAGCCATTCCCAATCCCTATTTAGCCCTGAGTTGATTGTGTCTAGTTTGCATATCAATTCCAGCTCAGCAGTCTCTCCTTGGAGTCTGTTTTTGAAGTTTTTCTGTTTTAAGATAGCCACCCGCAGGTCTGTCATAGAATGGCCAGACAGGTTAAAGTGTTCTCCCACTGGTTTTTGAGTATTATGATTCCTGATGTCAGATTTGTGTCCATTAATTCTTTTGCGTAGAGACTGTCCGGTTTGGCCAATGTACATGGCAGAGGGGCATTGCTGGCACATGATGGCATATATCACATTGGTAGATGTGCAGGTGAACGAGCCCCTGATGGTATGGCTGATGTGATTAGGCCCTATGATGGTGTCACTTGAATAGATATGTGGACAGAGTTGGCATCGGGCTTTGTTACAAGGATAGGTTCCTGGGTCAGTGTTTTTGTTCAGTGATGTGTGGTTGCTGGTGAGTATTTGCTTTAGGTTGGGGGGTTGTCTGTAAGCAAGGACAGGTCTGTCTCCCAAGATCTGTGAGAGTAATAGAATGAGATTTAATAGTGAGAAGTGTAAGGTGATGCATTTAGGGATGACTAACAAGAATTTCAGTTATAAGCTAGGGACGCATAGGTTGGAAGTGACCGAGGAGGAGAAGGACCTCGGAGTCCTGGTTGATCGCAGGATGACTATGAGTCGGCAATGTGACGTGGCTGTGAAAAAAGCTAATGCGATCTTGGGATGCATTAGGCGAGGTATTTCTAGTAGGGACAAGGAGGTGCTGCTTCCGTTATACAAGGCGCTGGTGAGACCTCATTTGGAGTACTGTGTGCAGTTCTGGTCTCCTATGTTTAAAAAGGATGAACTCAAACTGGAACGGGTACAGAGAAGGGCCACTAGGATGATCCGAGGAATGGAAAACCTTTCCTATGAAAGGAGACTCGAGGAGCTTGGTTTGTTTAGCCTAGCCAAAAGAAGGCTGAGGGGGGATATGATTGCTCTCTTTAAATATATCAAAGGGATAAATACCAGGGAGGGAGAGGAATTATTTCAGCTCAGTACTAATGTGGACACGAGAACGAATGGATATAAACTGGCCATGGGGAAGTTTAGGCTTGAAATTAGACGAAGGTTTCTAACCGTCAGAGGGGTGAAATTTTGGAACAGCCTTCCGAGGGAAACGGTGGGGGCGAAAGACCTCTCTGGCTTCAAGATTAGGCTAGATAAGTTTATGGAGGGAATAGTTTGAGGGGATAACGTGATTTTAGTCAATTAGGCAATAACGTGCCATCGCTGGTAAAATGAGGGTCTGGCTGGAGAATCTTGCCTGTATGCTCGGGGTTCTACTGATCGCCATATTTGGGGTCGGTAAGGAATTTTCCTCCAGGGTAGATTGGCAGAGGCCCTGGAGGTTTTTAGCCTTCCTCCGCAGCATAGGGCAGGGGTCGCAAGCTGGAAGATTCTCTGCGACTTGAAGTCTTTAAATCACGATCTGGAGACTTCAACAGCTGAGTTAAGGGAAAATGGGTGGGTCAGCTTTTGTGGCCTGCATCATGCGGGAGGTCAGACTAGATGACCATATTGGTCCCTTCTGACCTTAAAGTCTATGAGTCTGAGTCTATATTAGGAAACACTATTTCAGTAGGAGGGTGGTGAAGCAGTGGAATGGGTTACCTAGGGAGGTGGTGGAATCTCCATCCTTAGAGGTTTTTAAGGCCCGGCTTGACAAAGCCCTGGCTGGGATTATTTAGTTGGTGTTGGTCCTGCTTTGAGCAGGGGATTGGACTAGGTGACCTCCTGAGGTCTCTTCCAACCCTAATCTTCTATGATTCTGTGAAAGAGGTTAATTTTTCTGTAATAACACCTACAATTTCATCTGCTCCTGTTTTTCCTACTAAGAGTTCTTATTGATGGTGACTAATCATTTTGTAGTGGTACCACACACAAATCAGCTTGAAGTCTGAGTCCTGCTTGCTGTGCTACTCCAGTCATGAAAACTGTTTGGACACTTTTTCAAACAATTTTTAATTCCCCTTCCTATTTTTGTGTAATGGTTCTGTTAATTCTTCTCTTGTTGTAGAACGGCGAGAGGACCTGCGAGGTCAATTCATGCTATGTTTTTTGGATGATGGAGCAGGAATGGATTCAAGTAAGTGACAGGAAGTTCTATTTGCAGTGTCACGCTGAGAAAATAACTTTAATCCTTGCAAGTATTCTGCCAGTGTCACATCCCTATGGTTTTGATGGGCTCAATGGATGAGGCATGTGGTATAAAAACTTAAGTCAGACAATTAGAGCAGCAGTGGCACAAGACAGAAATTGAATCCGATTGTCACAAGGAGTCCATGCAAATCCATGTCACATCTGCAAGAGAGATTTAAGAGCCACTTTTTCCTCTGCCATGGAATCAGCGAAACTGTGACAAGAATAATTAAACCAGACTTCCTTCATTCTGCCTTGGACCCAAATATGTCCTGCTGAGAGGAGTTCTCTGCCTGCTTTCCAAAAATTCTAGCTAAACGGAGAAGTTTTTCCAGGACCAAGCAAATGGATTCTGAAGACCTTCTTTCACAAGTTTGACTCAGGCACATCACTACAGGACCTCTAAGTACTGTGGGAAGTCCATGCCACCACATAAATGAATCCTTTACTCTCGTGATGAGTGACACCCACCTAGATCATCTGCTGATCCAAAGCATATCAATACCACTCTTGGATAAGGTATTGACTGCCATAAAACTTTCAATAGTTTAACATGGGCTGCAGAAGATCTTACCAATTAAAGCCCTGTCTTACTTCCCTTCTTTGAGTAAGGTTATTAAGAAAGTGGGGCAAAAAAGATTCCAGGAACACCTGATATATCAGTAACCTAGAAGTTTCTCAGTCATTTATTTGATTGAGGTTTGTACTAACTACATAAGGGCATCCATCCCAGGCTCTGGTGCTCTTGGCAAACTGTACAATTAATAGCAGACTCAACAGTTGATTTAGTGAGAGCACAGTTACAGCAGCAACCTATCAGCAAAACTACCTCTGAAGTGCCAACCTCAGCCTTTCCATCAACTTCCTGTGGGCCAGGGAGACAATTTGGGTCTTAGAGTGTCCTGAAGATTAACACATGTTCGTCTTTTGGTCTTGGACAGAAGGCAGACATCCATGTTAATATTTTAAGATTTACCAGCAGCTTTTGACACTGCCTCTCTATACTACCGCCTTGTCAGAGTGACCTGGCAGGATGGGTGGAGTCACACTGAGTTGGCTAAGTGTCATTTCTTGTGGACATATCCAAGAGGGTTGTGGTGGTTGGTTGCTAGTCTTCCCTGAGCACTCTCATCTGTGGAATCTTGCAGTATTGAGACCTGTGTCTATCTTTCAGCATGTATATTGAACTACTAGAAGATATTAGAGGATGATATGGGCTTCAGTAGTAGCAGTTCATGACAACATTGTGCATCAGACATGAATTATGTCCTTTGCCAACTGACTTGGTGCTTGAGTGAAAGTGTTAGTTCATCCTCAGTCTGGGAAGGATAAATGCGATGTTTGTAGGAAGGGGGGAAGTGCTTTGAAGAATTGGATGGAACCATGTCTTTGCCCTTTGAGAGCATCTGCCATTTCAATTGATATGCAGCTCTTACTGACTCCACACTGCCAGAAAATGCCTCTTCCTATCTTCAGCAGGCCAGAAGAGTGTGATTCTTTATGATGCAGACCTAATCACAGTGATCTGTGTCTTCATTGCCTCCAGGCTGGATGATCGCAATGGGTTCTGCCAGTAATGAAGGCCACATAGGAGCCATGTGGAAGCTCTACCTCGTTCATTATGCAGCAGCAAACTTAGAATCATAGAATATCAGGGTTGAAAGGGACCTCAGGAGATCATCTAGTCCAACCCCCGCTCAAAGCAGGACCAGTTCCCAACTAAATCATCCCAGTCAGGGTTTTGTCAAGCTGGGCCTTAAAAACCTCTAAGGATGGAGATTCCACCACCTCCCTAGGTAACCCATTCCAGTGCTTCACCACCCTCCTACTGAAAGTTTTTCCTAATATCCAACCTAAACCTCCCCCGCTGCAACTTGAGACCATTACTCCTTGTTCTGTCATCTGGTACCACTGAGAACAGTCTAGATCCATCCTCTTTGGAACCCCCTTTCAGGTAGCTGAAAGCAGCTATCCAATCCCCCCCTCATTCTTCTCTTCTGCAGACTAAACAATCCCAGTTCCCTCAGCCTCTCCTCATAACTCATGTGCTCCAGACCCCTAATCATTTTTGTTGCCCTCCATTGGACTCTTTCCAATTTTTCCACATCCTCCTTGTAGTGTGGGGCCCAAAACTGGACACAGTACTCCAGATGAGGCCTCACCAATGTCGAATAGAGGGGAATGATCACGTTCCTCGATCTGCTGGCAATGCCCCTACTTATACAGCCCAAAATGCTGTTAGCCTTCTTGGCAACAAGGGCACACTGTTGACTCATATCCAGCTTCTCGTCCACTGTAACCCCTAGGTCCTTTTCTGCAGAACTGCTGCCTAGCCATTCAGTCCCTAGTCTGTAACAGTGAATGGGATTCTTCCGTCCTAAGTTCAGGACTCTGCACTTGTCCTTGTTGAACCTCATCAGGTTTTTTTGGCCCAATCCTCTAATTTGTCTAGGTCCCTCTGTATCCTATCCCTACCCTCCAGCTTATCTACCACTCCTCCCAGTTTAGTGTCATCTGCAAACTTGCTGAGAGTGCAGTCCACGCCATCCTCCAGATCATTAATGAAGATTTTGAACAAAACCAGCCCCAGGACCGACCCTTGGGGCACTCCGCTTGAAAACGGCTGCCAACTAGATATGGAGCCGTTGATCACTACCCGTTGAGCCCGACGATCTAGCCAGCTTTCTATCTACCTTATAGTCCATTCATCCAGCCCATACTACTTTAACTTGCTGGCAAGAATACTGTGGGAGACCGTATCAAAAGCTTTGCTAAAGTCAAGGAATAACACATCCACTGCTTTCCTCTCATCCACAGAGCCAGTTATCTCCTCGTAGAAGGCAATTAGGTTAGTCAGGCATGACTTGCCCTTGGTGAATCCATGCTGACTGTTCCTGATCACTTTCCTCTCCTCTAAATGCTTCAGAATTGATTCCTTGAGGACCTGCTCCATGATTTTTCCAGGGACTGAGGTGAGGCTGACTGGCCTGTAGTTCCTCGGATCCTCCTCCTTCCCTTTTTTAAAGATGGGCACTACATTAGCCTTTTTCCAGTCATCCGGGACCTCCCCCGATCGCCATGAGATTTCAAAGATAATGGCCAATGGTTCTGCAATCACATCCGCCAACTCCTTTAGCACCCTCGGATGCAGCACATCTGGCCCCATGGACTTGTGCTCGTCCAGTTTTTCTAAATAGTCCCGAACCACTTCTTTCTCCGCAGAGGGCTGGTCACCTTCTCCCCATACTGTGCTGCCCAGTGCAGCAGTGTGGGAGCTGACCTTGTTCTTGAAGACAGAGGCAAAAAAATCATTGAGTACATTAGCTTTTTCCACATCCTCTGTCACTAGGTTGCCTCCCTCATTCAGTAAGGGGCCCACACTTTCCTTGACTTTCTTCTTGTTGCTAACATACCTGAAGAAACCCTTCTTGTTCCTCTTAACATCTCTTGCTAGCTGCAACTCCAAGTGTGATTTGGCCTTCCTGATTTCACTCCTGCATGCCTGAGCAATATTTTTATACTCCTCCCTGGTCATTTGTCCAATCTTCCACTTCTTGTAAGCTTTTTTGCGTTTAAGATCAGCAAGGATTTCACTGTGAAGCCAAGCTGGTCGCCTGCCATATTTACTGTTCTTTCTACACATCGGGATGTTTTTTTCCTGCAACCTCAATAAGGATTCTTTAAAATACAGCCAGCTCTCCTGGACCCCTTTCCCCCTTGAACAGAACTGCTGAAAAGAACATGTTGCTGTGCATGCTGCACTGGCTCCCCATCCAATTCTGGATCTGCCTGAAGGTCTCAACTCTTATATTAGACTGTTTAGGATCTAGCAATTTCAGAGATGATCTCTCTCTGACACCCGCTCACGGCAGATGTTGCAGCCAGCTGACTTCAGGATGAAACTTGCAAGGGCCAGTAGAAGGTTGTCTACCGGACTTTCCTACCACCAGAAATCAGGCTGAGTCTTGTGTTCAGTGTAAAACACTTCTCTGTACAAGCCTTCCCTCCAAAAAGGTGGTCTTAGAATGGCTTGGCAATGTTTTGCCCTGTAGACAGACCAGAACAATCTCACTTAAACATGGAACTCAAACAAAGGAAGGATGGAACATACGACGTGTGGGAACGAATGTTTGGTTTCCCTGGCTGTTCATGTAGTTCTTCAGTACAAAAGAGATGAGCATATTAGGAGGGAGGGATAGCTCAGTGGTTTGAGCATTGGCCTGCATTGGTCTGCTAAACCCAGGGTTGTGAGTTCAATCCTTGAGAGGGCCATTTAGGGATCTGGGGCAAAAAATCTGTGTGGAGATTGGTCCTGCTTTGAGCAGGGGGTTGGACTAGATGACCTCCTGAGGTCCCTTTCAACCCTGATATTCTATGATTCTATGAAATACCTTCATAACTCTCCATACTTATGGCATTGCAGCCCAGATATACTCCATAGTATCCTCTAATAGCTTCATGTACACGTTGAACATTAGGGGGAACAGAACCCTATGGTACTCTTGTTCTGAGCTTGAGCTCTGGCTTCAAGTAGCATTGTGGGAAAGCATTGGTCTTGGAAAACCGTTCTTGAATCCAGTGAGCTTGCAGCATTGTAATACATGGCAGATGTTTGGGGAATACTCGGCTAAGGCAGTGGCAGATGCATCAAAAAAGGCCCAGGAAATCTTTGCTTCCCTTTAAACAGACAAGAGAATACAGGACATTCCAAAAGAACAGTCTGTTCGTCTAGAGCCTGTTCTTTTCCAGGTACCGTAGACAGTGTGGCAGTGGTTATTCCCAAGCAAGATGAAATAAACATAATAGGTGAGGTAGAGGTTAGGGGAGACTTCAAACCAGCTTCCTCCTCCAGAAAATATCAAACACCTAGTTTTGAGGCTCAGTGTCTAAGGCCCCAAGCCACTTTGAGGAGAGACTCCTCTTTGTGGATGGGGGGGGGTGCAAATG